AATCAAACCCAACCTATATCAAATTAATAACATTCGTATCCATCCTTTTCAACATTCGTAGCAAGCCTATCATGACATTCGTATCCAAGTATCAAGATCAGATAAACAATCAAACCCAACATTCGTATCAAAAATATCAAATTCATAACATTCGTATTCATCATCTGCGATATCCTCAACTCTAGAGAACACATGTTTTGTTGATATACCTGAAGATGAAATACAGCTGGAAAATAGAGAAATAGATTGTAATCAAAATAAGCTTAATTTTCATACAGAATTAAAGCGAATTGTGTTTAGTAGCAGGGGAGGGAGGGGGTGCAGAGGCGCCATGATCCCTGCTTAAATGACCTCCGAGCCTCTGGATTTGCAGAATTACCTCCAGGCCCCGCAAAACTGGTCTCCCAGCCTCCGTGACGTCACCAAGCCTCCCACCATTCTGTCTGCACGCCTCTGCAACCCCTCCCTCAGCAGGGGGGGGGGGGGAGGTCTTTGTTTAAATGTTGCTGAGGAGGGAATATTTAAAATTCAAATATTGAAAACAACCCTATAATTCTTACGTTTTGCAATTGTTTCTATCCCTTAATTTTTCCCTTTATTTAACTCTAAGTAAGATTTCTTTTATAGTTACTGTAAAGATAAATTTAAAATCCTTTATTAAAGGTTTTGTTAGTGGCGTGTCCACTCTCAAGCCTAATGTATAGAAACATAATATTCTTCTTTAGCTTTAGAATAGATTCCTAGATTGCAACCAGGACAGAGGGGGATGCACAAATGACCATGTTAGGAAAATTGTTGAAATTATTTAGAAAAAAATCTCGGAAAATCTTCAAAGAATATTGAACAAGGGTGTTTGAATGATGGAAGGGGGGGGGGCAATAATTATAAAAAAATTTATACATTGAGTAAACTTTGTTTATATATTTATATGTATTGAATACTGGAATACAGGAATGTGCAGAGAATAAACCTGTATTTGAGGATACTGATTTTCTTACTGAGCTAATTATTAAACATGAAAACGAAGATATAGGTAATTCAATAATTCATCAGTATCCAATTTATAAGGTCTTATATGCTGCAACATATATAAAGATGATATAAAGAAGGAAATTACAGGAATACAAGGTAACCTCTATAATTTTACTGATTAACAACCTTTTATACTTCTGGAATCTTGTTACTTAATAAAACCTGAAATCATATCTTCCCAGCTGAGGTCGAGTTAATATTTATCTGTTGATTCTTGTAGCAACCTAGCCCTAGCTGATTACATTTTTTATTTTGGCGAATTTTAATTTTTACCTCTTTCTGCAGTTTTAAAACCAGTTGTTTGTATGATTGTATGGGTTGGTCATAATTATCGAACTCCTTAGCTGATTTGTTTCCACATATGATATGAGAACTCGTTAGAACCTTGGGAATTTTGATAGCTTAAATAAAATTGAGGTGAGGGTCGAAATTATTCAGATTGCAAATGTCATTTATGTAATATATTTACTTAAGTTCAGCACAAAGAAACTTTTAAGTATAATATTTATTTAAATATTCAGAAAAAAAACCTGGATTTTGATTAGGATCCGCTGCAATCTAAACCAAGGAGGATCAGGATAATTCAGGGCAGATATCCATGTTCTCAATGCTAATTATGTGCAACAACAACATGGAATCTGAAGAAAGATGTTGAAAATATACACGAAGGAGTGAGATATCCTTGTTTTAAATGTCAGTATATAGCAACTCATGCAGGTCATCTGAAGATTCTTGTTGACAAATTTATGAAGGAATGAGGTATCCTTGTCCTGAATGTGAGTTTGTTGCAACTAGAGCAGACACTTTGAAGAGACAAATTGAAAGGAAACAAAAAGGAGTGGGATATCTTTGTTCTCCAAGTGACTATGTTGCAACAAGATCAAGCTACTTAAAGAGTCACATCGAAAGTAGCATGAAGGATCCAGATATCCTTGTACGGAATGTAAGTTTTTTGCAACTAGAGCAGACACTCTAAAGATACGTGTTGAAAATAAACATTAAGGTGTTAGATATCCTTATTTGCAATGTGAATATGCGGCAACTGAAGCAAATGATCTGAAAAAACATGTTGAACGTATACACGAAGGAGTGGGGTTCCTTGTTCTCAATGAGAGCATGTTGCAAAAAGAGCAAGTCCCTTAAATAGTCATATCAAAATTAAACATGAGAGAGTCCGATATCCCTGCACTGAATGTAGGCAACTACAGCAAGGGTTCTGAAGAGTCATGTTGAAGTTAAACACAAAGTAGTGAGATATCCTTGTCCCGATTGTGAATTCGCGGCAACTACAGAATTGAATCTGAAAAGTCGTGCTGAAAATAAACACAAAGGAGTGAGATATCCCTGTCCCCAGTGTGAATATGCTGCAAGTAGGGCAAGTCTCTTAAAGATTCATACTGGAAGTAATCACGATGGAGTCCTTGTTCTTAATGTGATTATTCTGCAACTACAACAAGGAATCTAAAGAGACATATTGAAAGTAAGCACAGAGGAGTGAGCTATTCATTTTATCAATGGGAGCATGTTGCAACTAGATTAAGTGTCTTGAAGAGTCATATCGAAAGTAAACACGAATGAGTGAGCTATCCTTGTTATCAATGTGAATATTTTGCAACAAGAGTAAGTCACTTGAAGAGTCATATTAAAGTAAACATGAAGGAGTCAGATAGCCCTGTCCTAAATGTGAGTTTGTAACTAGATCAAGTTATCTTAAGAAGCACATAGAAAATCAACACAAACGAGTGAGATATTATTGAGTCTTTTTTAACTTTATTAATTATTCCGAGCAGACAGATCAGAAATAAACATGTGTGTTATATATTGCTATTTGCAAAATTAATTTGAGAACTAACTAATTCATTTATTGTTTTTTTTTTCTCCATAACAATTGTTGTATTTTTTTGTATTCCCACTTAATGATTTAAACAACCTATTTAGCCAAACATGAAAAATTTAAATTTCCCGCGAAAATCAGATCTTTCATTTTAAAATATTTTAGAAATGCTAGAATTATTAACGTGAACCTCTGAACAACGCCCGACTTTTATATTTTAAAATGCTTGTTCAATTTATAGCTTAGGAAAATAAAAGTTGCAAGGTTGGGCATGAAAAAGTCTTAATTTCCTTCAAGTGATTTGATTTGTTTATTTAAACTAATTTGAACTAATTCAATACGTACGAACACTGAACAGCAAGAAATCCTGCCATTTTTTTTAGATCTTTTGGAATGTTTAATTTATTTTTCAGATAGAATGGCGGAGATTATAAAGGAAGAAGTAGATTTCAAGGAATCTGAGATGACTTCTATTATAGAGGAAACATGTTTTGTGAATATACCTGAAGATGACATAAAGCTGGAAAATGCAGATATAAAAGGTAATCTTAATAAGTGTACCTTTTTTGAAAGTGAATGAGGTTTTTTAGAGGTGACGGGGGGGGGGTGGTAAAGTATCAATGTTTAAAATAACAAACTTTTGAATTTCAACCGAGAACAAAATCATGTAACTCTCTCGAATCGTTTTATCCTTTCAATTTCCCTTTATTTACTTTGTTTTTTAATGACCGAAGAGCTAGGGATGGGTAAAAGGTCAAGAAGATTGGCCAGCCACATGCTATTCTTAGCTTTAGACTAAGGGGTATAAGTACTTTTTCCCCCAATTTATTTAATTAAATAAAAAATTACCTAACTTCTGATTATTTAATGGAGCAGGGGAATGATTTTTTAAAGAAAACATATATCCCTAGAGTTTGTTGGAATTTAAAAAAAATTAGAATTAAGTGTTTATAATGTTTACAATAGAAAAAATAGGTTAAAAACATCTAATATGTAATGTATATATAAATTCTGCATGAACAAACTTAAGGTATATACTTTTATCTAGAAGAAAACCTGGAATACAAATTAGAATTTCTGAAATCTGAACCAAAGAGAATCAGGAAAAGTCAAAACAGTTATCCGTGTTCCCAATGTAAATATTTTGCAACAACAACAAGGAATTTGAAGAGACATGTTGAACATAAACACGAAGGAAGGAGATATCCTTGCCATACGTGTGAGTATATTGCAACTCAAGCCTGCCATCTAAAGAAACATATTGAAAATAAACATGAAGGAGTGAGATATCCTTGTTCTCAATGTGAGTATATTGCAAATCAAGCAAGTAATTTGAAGATTCATATTGAAATTAAACATGAAGGAGTGAGACATACTTGTTCTCAATGTGAGCATATTGCAACAAGAGCAAGTCACTTAAAGAGACATATTGAAAGTAAACATGAAGGATTAAGATATCCTTGTTTGCAATGTGAATATGCGGCAACTTCAGCAAGTGATTTAAAAAAACACGTTGAAAGTAAACATAAAGGAGTGAGATATCCTTGTCCCGATTGTGAGTTTGCTGCATCCTCAACTTGTGCTCTAAAGAGACATGTAGAAAGTTACCATAAAGAATTGAGATATCTATGTTCGCTTTGTGGGTATACTGCAACACAAGCAAAGTATCTGAAAAGACATGTTAAGAATAAGCATGAGCGTTAGTTAACTTTGTTTTTAAAAGTTAATTTGTTTTTAAAATTATACAAATGTAATGATAAAGTTAAATGTGTTTCTTAGTTTTGTATATATCACATACCCTGATGTCAATATTTTACAAACTCTATTTTTCTCTTTAATGTGAGAAAATTTTTTGTTTAGATATTTTTTTAATTGCAATTTTTAAGTCTTTGGTCATGACTAGGATTTCAAAGCTACGTATTAAATATTTGTTTTGTACTACAGTGCACAAATGTTAATTACTTTTTCAGCATTTTACCTTGCCTTCACTGGTTTTTGTTCTGCTAAATAAAGCTTAAAAAACAGCCTGAATGTTTTGTAATATGACATCTAAATCTCCAAGTTTTTGTGACATAAAATTACTATTGTTGATAATCTGTTATATTTTAACTATTTCTATTTTACGCAGAATGTATTTTAAGATAGACTGGCAAAGCTGATTAAAGTAGAATTAAAAGAATTATATATTGAAGAGTTTCAGGACTGTGGATACATGTACTGTTAATCTACACAACGATAGGAAATACAGAAATACAAGCTAAACCTAATAATTTTACTTTTTCATACCCTAGAAACCAGCGACGTCGCGCGACCAGTCCCATTAGGTCGAGAAAGGTCGGGTTACGCCAGATTACCAAACTGGTCGCAATATGACGAGTCCCCTTAGGTCGTGTTAGGTCAGGTTCGGTCGGGTTACGTCAGATTACCAAACTGGTCGGAACATGACCAGTCCCCCTAGGTCGTGTTTGGTCGGGTTAGGTCGAATAACCTAACTGGTCTCATACTGTTCTTAACCTGACTAATCCACTTAGGTCGGATTTGGTCGAGATTGGTTGAGTTAAGTCAGGAGATATAACTGGTCGGAACATTACCAGTCCGAACCTGACCAATGCAGATAGGTCGGATTTGGTTGGCTATTGCAGGTTAAGTTATGTCAGGAGACCATAACTGGTTGGATTTAAGCCTTATTTGATATCGAGATAAAAAAAAGAGCGGATCAAGCATTGCTGGTTTCTAGGGATGTTTTGTGATGATTGTCAATCCCTTTATAAATTATGAGATATAAAAATTTTAAACTCTTATTTTTAATTGTTTAAATAAGTAAATAGTGTGTTGAAATAACTACAGAAAATTACGTTATTATCAGTAGTTAGAATGAACAATAGTTCAAACGATTAATTTAAATCAAACGTCAGTAGTTCAATTGTGGATCCAAAATAATGATAATTAATCAGGGGCGTACGAGGGCTTTTGTTTAGGGGGGGGCACAATTTACGTGCGTAAGCGCGCAAAAATTTTTTTTGGTCCCCCCCTTAAAACCCCTTTTTTGAAAAAATATTAATACCTTTTTTAAATTTTTTTTGCCCCCCCTCTCCCACCTGGACTTATTTTGTTCACCATAAAAATGCTGTCATAGAGAGAGAGAATTAAGAAAATATTATCCGGTATTCGCGCATTCATAGGAGTTTTATCTATCCCCCCCTCCTGCTCCCTTCACCCCATGCCCTTTTAATATTACATCTGCAAGGTGCTTAATCGATTGATAATTTTTATGAAAGTTACGGGGCATTCATATATTACAAATTCAGCGAAACTTGGAAAAGAAGAACTCTAAATTAATAATCGTCTATGATCGAGACTTATTATTTGATAAAATAGTAATCCTTGACAAATATTCAGGTTTTATTGAGATTTAGCGAATTCCCACAAAAATTGTCATGCTGCCAATTTGCAATTAAAATTTGGTTTTTATTTTAACCGATTTAAATAATTATAGATTTCAGACAGAGTTGCCAATTTGGGGATTTTATCACAATTTCTTGAGAGATCTTAATATTTATTTTTTAATGATTTTTCAGAGAAAATGTTGCGTGTTCTGGGTCGTCAGGCCGCCGGAAGAATTCCAACAACTACTCAACAAACTTTATCACAATATGAATCAATGATAACAGGTTATTTATAGAATCACTAAAGGGACTGAAAACGAAATTTCAGGTGACTCTTTATGCAAAGATGGCCAAGCCGGTAATTTCCTAGAGAACGATTTTTGGCCCCTCCCCCCCGCCCCCCCCCCTCCTAACAATTTTGTACATAAATCTTAAATGTAAGACATATGGCCGCAGCGCTCGGCCCCCTAGTTTGTCCTAGCCGCAGCGCTCAGCCCAAAAAGTGTCTTAACCTAACCTAACTCTAAATAAATACGAAATTAATTGAAAATTGTGTAAAAAGTGGCCATGTATAAAATTGATAGGATGGGGGGGGGGGTCCAAAAATCGTTCTCTAGGACAGACCCGCAAAGCCCGATTCACAACGGTACCCTTGAAACTTTGATTCATTATGATTTTCGGACTCATGCTATTAAGCCATAAAATCTCTTTTGCAGATTAAACAATTTGTTTGCAAGACGTTTTAAGTTTAAAAATATTAATTTTTTCTTTTCTAAAATTAACAGAATAAAATATACTTTTAGAACAATCAAGATGCTCTGTTAATCTAAAAGATGCAAAGGATAAATAAACGTTATTATAAATCATGTTTTTAGAAACCACTTTTAATGTAAATGTCATGGGATACCTGAGAAATGCATCAGCTGTTTATTTCACACTGTACGCAGCGTAGACCGCGTTTTACAGGAATTTTAATGAACTATTTACACATTTTTTCTTTGCATGATACATAATAGTTAATAATTATTTAAACGACGATCTTATTGTTCAGATACCGTTGTGAGTCGGACATATCACTTCATAAAAACTTTTTTTTTGTTTATTTTGATTATTTTTACTAAAATAAAATAATTGGATTGTTCAGATTGTGGCATGGCACGTAGTTTACAGACAGCAGTAAAACCATTTAAACCAAATAGGTCACAGCTTCTCTCTAAAGAGGATCTATGGAGTGCACCGTTCTTTCCTACATCAACAAATAGAATTTTAGAGAAAACTCAGGGAGCTGAAAACATCATGTTCTGTCTTTAAACTTAGTCTTGCGGTCCTATTTATAGGAGTGTATATTTTCTTGAAACCCCCCCCCCCCCAAGTGAAACATTCACTTAAAAAAATGTTACAGAAGTACAGCGTGCCTCTGAATAAAGTGTGCTCAGACTTTTTATCTTACTAAACATCGATGAAAGAGATTTATGGGATTTGTACCGACTAGAAGTACTTTTTAACACAATATACATGTGTTTAGTAGGCTAAAAAGCCTAAGCACACTTTTTTCAGAGACACCCGGTAGTAATTTCTGATATTGGTTTAAAAATTAAATTTAACAAATAGTAATCTAAAGAAAATGTAGGATTTCAAGTTCTAGTGACATAAAAGTTGCATTGGAATAATTGTTTTATCTTCTAAAACATCAGAAATCAGAATTGCTACCATTATTTTCGACTATTTTATTTTAATATTTCAACCGATTTTAGGAAATTTCAAAGCTTGCTAAAGTTAAGTTTCAATGTTTTTGCTCTGTCCAGATTTTATTTAAAATAAGTCCCAGTGACAAAATCCACAAATTATATCAGTTCACGCCGTCAGAAAGCAGGTACTTTAAATTTAAGGGTATACATCTTCATTGTGAAGAGAAATATTCCCCTCACCCCAGACCCTGCTCAGTATGTCATAGTTATTTTTTCCCGCGACAAGGAAAAGGAATGAATTTATTTGAAAACACAAATTTTAAGAGGGTAAAATTTTGTTTCCAGCTTTAAGTTTTTAATTTTTCATTGCTCAAATATGTCCAAAATTTTCGGCCAGTGTTAAAATTACTTTGCCTTTTCAACCTTTTCCAATGTAAACAATCATAAAATTCATCCAGAATCTTTGTTAATGAACATTTCTTCACTACAGTGGGACTCGGAAAACTGTTGAATAGGAAAACTACATTTAAGCAATATCATTGTATTGGATGTATTTGGATGGATAAAGCAAATAGTTTCATCAATGTGAAATGGGTTTGAACAATTGCTGTGTTTCTTTTTTCCCACCATTTAAGATCATAACTTTAGTCTAACAGTAGGCTTCCTATTCCACAGTTCGAGAACGAACTAAATTACGATAATCATGAAGTCAGAATTGATGAATAGCAAGAAGTAGATGAACTAGTCATACCGAGATCAATTACTTCCCACTATTCATAATCCTACCTCATCCTTAGTTTATGTATAGTAAAATATTGTCTGACATTCTAAAATAAAAGACAAAACAGAAAAGCAAAAACGCAAAATATGAAAAATTTATAGGTTTAAAAATTGTTTAAAGCAGACGAAAATGTTCTCAAAACATTTGAAATTCTGAATAATTCTTTTTTTGACACTGGAGATGTAATTTCCAACCAAGTTACTCTTCATTCATTGGTTGGCATGTCCGATTCACAACCGTGTCCTCAACATTTTTATCGGAGTATGAACGACGAAGATATCGTCTCGATTTTCTTAATAAAGAGTGATGAATTCTGATTATTTCCTTGTTTGACTCGAAGGAATGAATTCGCATGTACATTTAATACAGATTCCACAATAAGCTAGAAAACAAAGATATTTCATAAATCTGTAATATTTAGATACCGCAACAAATCGGATATCTTTCTTTACTTATGGAAACTTACTTGAGATACGGATTACAGCCCCTTTAACATATTTAGACTTTCCCTGGTGGAGCCTGGAACGGGAAAATCTGAGAGAGCTCCAGAAAACGAAAAGAAACCAGATCTAGAAAAAGTAAGTTATATTTAGATCGACGTTACGTCTTTATAAATACTCAGTAGCAAGGGTGCATATTTTTTAATTATAATAATTCCGCCCCTTACTTAACATTTTTGCGTGTAAGATGAGTTGATAGATGCAAAAGTTTAAAAAATGATAAAAACCTCACTTTCCATGTCAAATTTTTATTTTTTTTTCACGAGAGCATAAATAATCCCCCCCTCCCCCCCTCCGGCGGAGGGGGGATTCTTGAAGATGTAAAACCCGATGGGAAAAGATACGGAAATACGTGTATTTGACGATTTTAATTTTAATTATTCACTAATAACGTTTATTATTAGGTGTGGGCATGGCTAAATGTCGCACACTGTTTTTTGTACTTTTCCACTGTTTTGTGGGCCTCACTTTATAATTTAATATTGTTTAGATATCCTTTGAGTTAACCTACGAGTTAACAAATTTGTTCGTGAGGAAAACAGATTGGTCCCTCTACCATCCAAACATGGTTTTTCAGGAAAACATAAAATCAGGTAAATGTATGCACCCCCCCCCCCCCACCAATATCGCTTTTTATTTTTCAAATAATTGTGTACCTATATACTGTTAATAAATAGTATTCAAGGGAATTTTTGATTTGCTTATATTTTAAATAGTGTACATAATGTTAAAAAAGTAGCAATCTCTGTTTGGGTGCTTCTTTGAATGTTTTTGTCCGATCATAACTCAGGAAATCCTTGACCGATTTACTAATAATGATTTTAAAAATGATGCTAATATTAACGATAGTAATAATGATAATGATGATAATAATGATAATAATGATAATGATGATAATGATGATAATGATGATAACGATGATAATGATGATAATCATGATAATCATGATAATCATGATAATAATGATAATAATGTTAATGATGATAATGATGATAATGATGATAATGATGATAATGATGATAATGATGATAATGATGATAATGATGATAATGATGATAATGATGATAATAATGATAATGATGATGATAATGATGATAATGATGATAATGATGATAATGATGATAATAATAATGCAATTAATTTCAGGGAAGCGTATTGAAGGATTGCTGAACTATATAAAGTTTGTAAACCTCCTCCGTATTATGGCTCACATTAAGTTTGTTTACGTCAGGAAACGGGTTTCACACAATTTAAAAATTTGCGAAATTTTGAAATCATTGTTGATTGATTGATTTACTATTTGATTATGATTGAGTTGCTAATTGATTTGTTATAATTGATTGATGGTCGGTAAATTGATTTGCTATTTTGTAATTGATTTACTGATTTGATTTGTTACTTTTATTGAATGTTTGATTAATGCTCTTGTAATATAATGACTATTGAAATAAAATATTTTATTGATAGATTTTTAAAGGGGATGGTGGAGATGTACTATTTGGTGAGGGTCCCTAACTTCATTTTTGGTTCAAATCTTTCAATTTTTTGGTTGCACGCCTAATTTGGGTTCAAATACCCCCCTCCCCTCAAAAAAATGACACTTATGACCTTTAATGACATTTAATGACCTCTAAATTGAAATGTTTAAACTTTGGCTTAATGCTTATTAAACTAAATCCAGACAATACAGTAGGAGCAACGAATCAAATATTTGACCTTCTAATGATCTCAAAATTGAAAATGTCTAAACTATGGCTTTTTTTCATATCAAACTTTATTGCCTGGGTTCCTAAATTTCGTTCGATATGCATAAACACTTTCTATTTGTCGAGATTATTATATTTCATTAGAGGTCATTAAAGGTCATTAGTAATAAACAAAGAAATATTTTTTGTAATTCGAACCCAATTAGGCGTGTATCCAATAAGTTGAAAGATTTGAACTAGAAATGAAGGCATCAAATAGGACATCTCCACCTTTCCCTTTATTGATTCTTTAACACTATTGTGAATGCGTTACTTATTGAAGGTGGATTCAGTAATCGATTGTTTAATTTACTTAATGAATTAATTATTGTTTGATAAATTAAACTGTTGATTGTTTGATTTACTGATTAACGTATACGCTGATTTATCGATTGGTTTACGAATAAAATGATTTAATTAGTAATTTATTGATGTATCCATGAATTAATTTATTGAATTACGTATCCATTGATTGGTTGATTAACTGATTGAAAATTGAAACCGGTTTACCCTAGATTTCACGTATTAAACTTGACAAAGCACCCCGAGGACGGAACTATAAGAATCAGGTTGGACAAACACGATATATACATTTCAAAACATTCTAACTTACAATCATTATCTCTGTTTTTCCTTTTCAATTGTCACCTCAATTTCTTTTCGTATAATTACTGGGGACATTAGTTCTAAAACTAACACTTGGTCCATTTCTAGCACTGAGTGTTAGAAATGGGCGCAAATTGAATGACTGGGATTTTTAGGATTCCTTCCCATACAGTAAAAGTCGATAATAAAAACATAACCAACATATATAAAGCATCACAAGGACAACAATTCCTAATTTTTATAAATTTTCTAAATCAAAATTGTAAAAGGCTTTCTTTTTGTATTAAAACCTTTGACCGTTTTAAGACAACGTCAGGTTTTCCATTTTCAAACATAACCTGAATTTGAATCATTGTCGCGTTTTCGATACAAAACCCACTTTCCCGTTTATTCAGTATAATCCGCTTTTTATAACAAAACTCACTCTCATAGCTTACAAAATAAATCACTGATAGTAAAATATCTTATGAAGCCTAAATTAACTGCTGAATTATATTTATAATCTAAGTCACATTTTATTTGTTAAATAAGAGAATACACATCCAATTTCCCGCATTTCTAGTTAAAACATTGCAAAAACAAAATCTATATATAAATTTGGCTTGTCTGTTTGTCTGTTTGTTTGTTTGTTTGTATCCAATAAACGTCAAAACGGCTGAACCGATCGGGCCCAAATTTTTTGTGGGACATCTAGGGACCCCAGGGAAGGTTTATGAAAAATCAAAATTTCAAATATTTGTCTCTATCAAAATTCGATCGTCATTAAATTTTTAAAAATTTGGAAAATCCGCGAAATTTTTTGTAAAAATCCGCGAATTATTTTTGTTTTGTTTTACGATGTACACAAAGAGAACATGTTCACAACTGATTTAGAAGATGGGCGCGAAGCGCCCTCTAAGGCTAGAAAGAAGGGCGCGAAGCGCCTTGAATTTCTAGTAATTAATATTTTGATTTCTCAAAGCCGTAATGTTTTTTTAACTACTAAAGAACAATATTCCTTTATTTTCTAATTTGTTCATTTTTTTTATCTTTTCAAAAAATCTTATTTTGTGACTAAAGTGCGTAAATACTATTTTTCTCTGTAAAAGTTGACCCACTCAACTGAGCATCGTAAAATCAAGCAAAGAACATTCCCGTGGTTCTCCTGAATTACCTTATCAAAGTTGAGGCAAATCGTTCCAGGGGATCATGATGTATGATTGGAAAACAAACAAACAGACAGACAGACAAACAGAGATTACAACTTTATATATATATATATAGATGGCGTATAGCGGGCCTGGGTGTTACGCGGCTAGTCCTCCGATATATCCCGGACCAGATGTGGAAACGAGGAAATATGGATAGGTAAGTTTAACGATGTTTCAATCCTACTAATTTTAACGATATTTTCACCCTACTTATTTTTAACGATTTTTTAATCCTAATCATTTTGATATTTTAATTTGATTTTAACGATACCTTTATATTCCTGATTATAACTATACTTGAACCTTCTGATTGTAACGATCAAATTTAATCCTACTGTTTTTAACAATATTTTAATCCTACTGGTTTTAACAATATTTTAATCCTACTGGTTTTAACAATATTTTAATCCTACTGATTTCAACGATATTTTAATCCTACTGGTTCTAACATATTTTAATCCTATTGGTTTTAACAATATTTTAATCCTACTGATTTTAACGATATTTAATTTTATTGGTTTAACAATATTTAATCCGACTGATTTTAACAATATTTTTATCATACTAGTTTAAAAATATTTTAATCTTACAGATTTTAACAATATTTTAATCTTACTGATGTTAACGATATTTTAATCCTACTGATGTTAACTATATTTTAATCCTACAGATTTTAACAATATTTTAATCTTACTGATGTTAACGATATTTTAATCCTACTGATGTTAACTATATTTTAATCCTACTGATTTTAACGGTATTTTTTAACATAATGGTTTAACAATATTTTCATCCTACTGATTTTAACAATATTTTAAACCGACTGGTTTTAACAATATTTTAATCCTACTGGGTTTAACGATATTTTTTAACGTAATGGTTTAACAATATTTTAATCCTACTGATTTTAACGATATTTTAAACCTGCTGGTTTTAACGATATTTGAAACCTACTGGTTTTAACGTTATTTTTTTAGTGCTTCACCCTCCTGGTATGATGGATATTCTGTGTTCTATGTTGGAGGGGATAACAAGATATATAAACATATAGCAGACAAGGTTACAAATATTCTCCATTAGTTTAACTTTTTATTTGTTATTTTGATCAGTGACTTTCCATGTGGGACGGTAATGTTGATCGGCCTACAAAATATGCCCATCTGACCATCAATAATTGCCCATCCGACCTACAAATGTGCCCATCCGACCTACAAAAAGGCCAAAGGGGGCATCTGTCCTACTTATAACGTTTCCAATCAACAGCTAATAGCAGGTCTGATGCACCACTATGCTGTTTTAAAAGTGCCCATCCGACCTACAGTGCATATGACCAATAGGAGCTGTAGAACCACGTGCTAGTAGGTCGGATGGGCGTAGGTCCAAAAATACACCATCCATTCATGTGGGACCTTTAAATTTGTTCAAGACGACATTTAAGCAATGTATTGGATTTCGTTGAAACTCAATGTATTAAAAGAAATGGGTATGTGAAACCTGCTCAATTTGTGTTTTATGTTCATTGGACTTCTCAAAATCATAACTTTTTCTTACATATTCCACAGTATATGAGTCCCATTTAAGTATTTTTATAAACTTTTTTTCCGTATGAGTCCATTTTAAGTATTTTCATAAACGTTTTTTCCAGAGGATGCCGGATGAAGAAAAGAAGGAAAAATCCATTCAAGAGGTGAATTTAAAATTTAAAATGAAAGAAAAGAGATGTATAATTTTATTAAAGGGACTGTACGGGTGATTTCAAGTTTATAAAGAGGTATGTTAGATTTACAACGGTACTTTTTTGTGGGCAACGCTGCTGAGGTAACTGAAGATTAAGTGCCGGGAGACTCGCTGTTACAGTGTACACTACTCTCCGTGCTATTGTATACTCACGTGGTTTCTTGGCACTTAATTTCTGACTATATAAATTAGAATGTCTACAAAATCCTTAATCAAGCGAAAAGGTGTAAAGGGCATCGTTGTAAATAGAACATGCCACTGTATTAATGAAAGGTTACTTGAAATTACGCTTACAGTCTATCGAATTTTTTCAGGGTATGGTTGATCAATTAAAGAAACTGAAGCCTACTCCTGCGCCTAGTCCGGCATTGTAAATCCGCGGAAAAAGAAAACAAGAAAATCCGCCAATATTCATTCTGTGTTAAAGGAAGAGACCGGCTGGACATGGTATTTGAGCAGAAAGTGCAGTGCTGTAGAGAAAAACAATTTGATACCAATGAGACATTTTTACGGTGTACAATTTTTAATTAAGAGCCTGAAGTCGTTTGTTATATTTCACCGTCGTTTCAGTCAGCAGAGGAAACGATTTTTTGCATTTCTTAAATAACAAACAAAACATGTAACAAACACTATTCTACAAACCAGTTGCATGACGCATGTATAAAAACGAGTTGATAAAAATAATGAAGTTATACCATTGGAAATAAGTTATTAAAATTCATTTTAAAATCTCGCAGGTATATGCAAATTCTTTGTGGTAGGGTCACTAAGGTCACTTGTTGGAGGTTTTCTTTGTTTTGTGAAGGCGACATTTTGTAGAAATCTGCGAATAATTTTACTCAATAAAATATTTTTTTTTCACATTTTTGTCTGGGTTATTAAATGATCGTTAGAAACGTTTTTTGTCTCATTGGGATCAAATGAATCCTAAAGTTTTGCTCTACAATACTTTCACTTTCAGCTCAACTACCATTTTCAGCCGGTCTCTCCCTCTAAGTGTACACTGTACACTGTACAATAAAGCCCTTCATGGCACCAAGTTTGGAAAAATTGTACAAAGTACAAATAAGGACAGTGTACAACGAATATTTTGAAACCTAAAATTAAGTTAAATTCAGTCGTTCTTGTCAAAACGAATCATTTTAAACTGTCTGATTCTGATTCCAAATATTGAATGTGCTTGCAAATGATGTTAGATACAGATGCAGTTTTTCATTTGTAGAGCTGTGATATTGAATGTGTGATTTGAAATACAAAATTGGCATAATGTTAAATTATCATGTTTTACAGTGTACACCAAGCCAATGTTAAATTTACTTTTATCTAATATTGAGCTCCAAGTACAAGAACAGAAAGAAAAAAATATCTTTTTTCAGAAACAAGATGGATGTTGTCAAAAGATGTTGTAGATTGTGTTTCCAGGTTAGATTAGACTTTAGACTTTATCCTAAAGGTTATTCACCAATCGGAGAAAAAAATTAATTTTAAGAAAAAGATCATTAATATGCTTCGCCTTTATTTAGCCGCACCTAGTTTGAGGTCCTAATTTTGAATTGAAACATAAAAATAAAGAACTATTCGCAAATTACAATTCCTAGAAAATTAAAGTTATTTTTCAAAACTTTTGTCTGAAATGAATCTAAAAAATGAGGAAATTTTTTAATTCAGGAATTAAGTTCGGGTGATTTTACAGAACTCTATCAGGAATATAATCATTGATCATTTTATTCCCAAGTTCTAATTTTACAAACAAACAAAAAATAATTTTTTGTGTCTAATCTTCTCTTTTTAATTAGTTTTCAATTGAAATATTGCACTTAAAAACAAAAACGTAGTTGATAAAATTAAGTTTTTTAAGATTCAGTAGTGCACACAACAGTAAAGTTTATAATTTAGTATAGCACATACCTTGTGTGCAATCAAAGTCAAGTTTGGAATATTGTCCCAGATTGTCATGATTAATAAAAAGTGTCAATTTTTAAAAGTATTCCATTGTTTTCCTTTTTTTTAAATTAACAGAAAAAATCATCTTGATTTGAATGATCGTTTGGTAAGTTTGTTGGTAATTGACTCATTCATTTGTTAACAATTTGATTTATCGATCGATTGATGAAAAGTATGAGTCTGGAGTGATTAAAGTAAGCAGACTTGGCCTTCAGGTTGAAGAACTTGTTAGCAGTAAACTCTGCTGTTTAGATACAGTGCCGAGCCAGGTATGTAGCTTGTATTTTGCAGACAGAAGGCCAAAGTAGTTTTCGGCGCATGCCGCGTAGAATTACAAGACTTCGCGCTCAGCCCAGAAAGTGTCGTAACCTAACCTAACCCTGAATTATAAATTAATTCCTCTCTTTCAATTGCCTGTATGGCGGTTGCCTAAGGGAGTTAAGCGCTCTTGCCGCGATGAATTACAAGAGAGGGATTAGTTTATATTTTAGGGTTAGGTCAGGTTAGGACACACTCTGGGTCTACCACTTCTCAATTTTAACCCTGTGATTTATAAATATATTTACGTTGTATTTTTTCAATAAAAGTTTGAAGAAGAAGAAAACTTCTCAATTTTATTCAATACTCCTTGGTATCTTGGTACTTGGGGTTACAAGCTTAGTTTGGTTTTTTTCTCAGGATTGCATATTTTCTCGAAGAATCTTTATTTCACCCCTTTTAAATAGTTTTTCCCCTGAAAGTTATAAATATGTTTGCATGGAGCGCTATTCTAACCATTTAGTTTTGCTCCATTTGTTTAACCCTATCCTTGGTGGGGTACTTGAAAACCAGGAAACGCCGGGGGGGGGGGCAAATTGAACCCCCCCCCTCTAAATCCCATGTTTGATGTCCAAATATGACAAATGATTCATCATTTGAAAGATTTTAGGCTCTACTTCTAGAATCTGCAAAAAAATTGCAAATTTGCCACACAAAAAATTTTGGTTGCAAAATCCAGTGAAATAGTAAAAATGTTTGCAAATAAAATGTTCATAAAATGATAAAATATATATTTTTGAAAAGTCCTTGACCATGCCATTTAAATATGCAAAATGTTGCAAAATTTTAAATGACTTAATGTTTAATTTAGAAAAACTAAAAATGTGCAAATTTCTTTTGACGTTTGTATGCCAATATTATGCAATCCGTTTACTTATGTCATAGGCTTTCTAAAAAGCTAAAAATAATCAGGATAATGTTTGATCAACTCTTTTTCTTAATCCCCAGATTAAATATGGCTTGTTCTCCTCATGTTATTAATCTCCAGATTAATTAACCGATCGGGATTAAGGACATTCCATTCTAAAGTTTTCAGCTCTGATCTCTCTGTGCCCGTGTTTTTTTAAATTTTTTTTTCACTCGATTTAGTATAGTTTATTTTCTTTTTAGGCCTGTGAAACATGTGTTGGGGAAATACATTTTTGCATTGAGGTTATTGCAAGGTTGAGGTAAACCTTTTTTTCTAAATTCAATAATGCATTTTGGAACCTTTAAGTATTTACCGTATTTTTGTTTTTTTTTGAAGTTTTTTTTTTTTTCAGGCGAATTGAATCATATCTGAACAAGGAATGAGATTCATAAATATGCTAGCTTAAGTGCCTGGCTTTGCCCGTGGAATAAAAAAGTGATAAAAAACTTTTTGAATTGTTAAAAAAATCCGAATTTTAAAGAAAAAAACCGAAATTTTAGCTTATGTTAACCCCAGGTTACTTATGGGTTCCCTCAATAAATTTGAGCAAATTTGGTCCTGCCGGTTGGGCAGCTATAGCTAACATGTAGATAGATGAGCGAAGAGCTTTATTATGTAGAGATAGATAGACTTAAATTTTGTAAATCCTGATGGAACCGAATTAAATGAATTTTAACTGTCTACCACCGCTTCAAATTTGAATCTCCGATTCAAATCCTTCCTTAATCTTAACTTTGAATCTTTAGTTCAAATTTCAAGTCAGCGATGTGGCTTAAATTCATTGATTTTGGCCCTTGTTAATGGTTTCATGGTCGGATTAACTTGATAAGTCTAAGCAAAAAAAAACATGAATCAGGCGATCTGAATTAAATCATTTAAAAATTCCGACCTCAGTAGTTGATATTTCCTAAATTTGCAGCTTCATTGTTAATCTTGTTCTTAATTTTTGGCAACATGTTTTAGAAATTTTAATCTTGTGCACAGCGTTCGTTATTTTACAAGATGGATGTTGTCAAAAGATGTTGTAGATTTTTTCTATTTGCCTGGATATTTGAGAAAGCTCCCAAATTTCTTGGGTAAAGTTTTTCTATTTGCCTTGATATTTGAGAAAGCTCCCAAATTTCTTGGGTAAAGTTTTTCTATTTGCCTGGATATTTGGGAAATCTCCCAAATTCCTGTTTTGGAAATCTCTTAATCTTCGGATATATTTTCTCTCGGGATTCATATCCGAGCATTGTAGCATTTGTTTTGAGATAGGTGGGTTAAATTGGCTTTGAATATGTTCGCATGGTAGCCTGTCAGAAATTGTCTAACTCTCAATTAGGAGGAAATCCTTTGAATCCACAATCTAACAGTTGTAAGTTTGTTAATGTTGATAATAGGTTGTAGATTTTCATGATCTTGTTAAGGGATTTTGTCTCAAATGAGAAAAACACTATTTGACTCTTCTACAATATTAGAAACTCCCTGAGTTGCGTTGAATTGAAAATATATCTTTTAAGATAATATATGATTTAAAAAAAATATTTTTAGTTAATTTCTAGGCATCAACTATTCCAACCAGTCCAACCAGTTTCCAGCAGATCAGCCTGAAAACCGGAAACATTCGGTCTGAATATCCCTGGACTATCGGCGGGAAAAGGATAGCTAAGGAAAACAATTTTAAAAGATGTTTCAATTTCTAAGATAATTATGGTTAACCAATTGGCGTTTTGAAACACTAAATTATTCGTTTTTAATTGCAGAGACGAAAAGAAGATGCTGTAGAAATATTGAAAAAGAGAAGTGTTAGTATATCGACATATTCATAAAAGGAAGAAATATCCTAGCTAGTCGTAATTTTAAGTGACCCGCCATGAAAGAAGACACTAACCTACTTACAACGGTACTCTTAAAACCTGTGTGTTTTCGTTTAGTTCAGAGAAATTGGGGTGTACGTAGCGCACATTGCACTGGAAAAACAAGGTGGTTCGATAAGTATTCAGACTCATATGTACTCGACGAACCCACAAAGCTTATAAGGTACCGTTGTAAAGCGGCCCTTGCCCTTTTTGCATGGAGCAAAGAGAGTAACTTGTAATTCAGTCTGATTAACGTTGTGAATGTGAAGGCACACTGTTTAAAATTGTTTAATCTTTAGAAGTGTTATAGACGTCTTGAAAAAATACCGAGAAAGAAAATCCGTCAAATTTTACCAAAAGTTGAATTAACGCCTCTTCAAATTCCAAATACAACGTAAGATTTTAGATTTTTATCAAGTTGGTTAATGAATATTAGTTATACAATTAATTTGCCCACTGTGCCCACCTAGGGTATACCTTCATAACAATTCCCCTCCCCAAATCTTTTGATTAAGTTGGTAAATGAATACTGGTTAGTTAGCCAAATTGAATGCTCATAGAGAAATATCTACGAATCAATGTTTAGTAATGGTCAGGAGGCTAAAAAAGCTGGTGGAAGAGTCCAACTCAGTGAAGGAGGAGGGGTTGTCGGAGGTGTTGGAGGTGTTGGTCCTGGAAACCAAGTAATGATCCCCGTCACCTTGTCCACCACATGTAAATCTTGCAGGGAAGAAGTTTATGGAACTCAGAGAAATTAAATTGTAATTTTTTAATAATAAGATGATATATGTGGCTTAAATGTGGACTTTACAAAGGTAGAAACAAATCCAAAATATTCATATTTTGAAAAGTAGTAAGAAGGGAATCATATCAAAATTTATTAACAGAATAAGATCAGAAAGTTCTTCAGAAAGATGATAACAGCATCAAGTTTAGCAGAATATAAGCAACACTCCTGTATGCAACTCAAGGTAAATTTTTAAATCTTAAATATTAATATTTCATTTTACCAATAATTTGAACAAGTGTTTGCCTGTCTTGTTAGCAGTGCTTAAAGGGAGTGTGAGCGCCAGGAGGATTTTTAAGATCAATTTTGTGCTATAACTTATCAACTATACACCGTACACACGTCTTGTAGATCTCAAATTATTTTTTTAAAAACACTACAATACTGCACTCCCAGATCAACTACCATGTCTAGCCAGACACTCTCTTTAATATTAACTAAAACATTGTTAGCGTCAATATCATAATATTTTTTTTTGCAGGACAAGTCGTTAGAATGTAAAATCAGTGATTGTGGTAGAAAATTTTTTGGAGAAAATTCGCTTAAATTTCACCAAAAATTTGCGCATTTTCGAAAACAAGATGGTAACTTGGACATATTTTCCATTGCTGCCAGCCAACTAGGAATGCATTTTACATAAAAAACTGTCAAATTTTGAGAGTTATAATTTGTATACTTATTTATTTTTTTAGCAGGAAATTGTTTTTGTTAAAATTAAGATTTATTAAAAAAGACTGTTTCTGGTGGATCGTCTGTTGTGAGATCTCTTTGTTGCAGGGTTGGAAAAAACCCGGTGGTTTAAAAAACCAGCCCATTGGGGTTTCTAGGGTTTTTTTTTTTTTGGGGGGGGGCGGGTTTTCAATTTGAAAGTAGTTGATACCTAATAAAATTCAACTTATTCATAATAATAAGATTATTTAAGCAATAGGTGAACTTTAAAGTTATGAAAAATAATAATATAGTTGTGATAATAGGCTATATTCATAATAAATACCAAGGATGTAAGGCAAGGAAAGTCATTTCAGAAGTGTACACATCTTTAGTACTGCAGTGTACTGTCTCTGGGCGCTAATGTAAACACAAGACGGATGTCGAAGCCTGACATGGGATCCATCATTCACATAAAAAATCAATGAAATATTCTGGTCATAGGAAACTATTATGTGAATTATCAAAATTATCAAAATTTAATGCTTTTAACCTCCTCGGATACTTAACAAACACTGATGCATCTATTATTGTTTACAAATTCCCCCCAAAGAGAACTGGTTTCAATATGTACACAGAGTATACACAACCGCAATTGACTTTCCTTGCCTTACATTCTTGATAAATACTCTTCAAATACAATAATATCACCTCCCTTCTTCATAGGGGGCATTTATAGGGGAATACTGCAATTTTTTTTAGTTTATTTGGTTAATTGGTGAATTAATCTCTAGACCCCAGTAAGGGGCATTTTGAAAACATCTGCATAGAGTCTATTGATTCACTGAGTACCTATTTCACTATTACTTAAACAATGTCTCCAGCATATTGGTGGTAAATGTTTTAAGGATTTCAAGCGTTTTTTAACTTCTCCCAGGAAACTGTTCTATGAATTCACCACTCTTTGACTAAAAAAATTGGCTCTCAATTCCAGTCTAGGGCATCAGATTTAATGGATCTGCAGTTAGACGAGTTAGTCTATGTTCACCTGATCCGACTATATTAAACCATGTATTACTTTCTACATCATCAAAACCATGTATAATCTTAAATGTTTGTAGCATTTGATACAGATTTTTCTTTTCTCCAGGGATTCAAGTCTCAGTTCTTTAAGTTAAACTTCATAATTTCTACCTGACAGTCCAGATATCATATTAACGGCTCTTTGTTGTACCAGTTCTAGTACATCTTTGTCTACAGCTGTCCAGGGACACCACACTGAGACAGAAAACTCCAAATGGTATCATACATTTGCTGTTTTAGCAGATTCTAGGCACTGAATTGAGGTTTTCAAATCATGTGACACTTTCACTCCAATATCCTACTCTACTTTGACCTCAGATAACTTAATTCTGTTCATAAAGTATTCATTTTTGTGATTATTTTGTCCAACTTGAAGAATTTTGCATTTAGAAACATTAAATGACATTCCCCACTTTTCTGTCAATTCACATAGCAGGTTAAGACAATCCTGTATGTTATCACAAACTTTCTCTGATAAATACACTGTGCAAGTTTAGTGTCTTCTACAAACTTTCTCATTATCTTAATAAATTTGGTTAAGGTGTCTTATATCATTGATAAATATTACAAAAGCTTATATTCCAAGTACAGATCCTTGGGGTACACCTGAGAGTACAGGTTCCCAGGTGGAGTTTTCTCCATTGATGATCCCTCTTTACCTTCTTCCTGTCAACCAGTTGTTAATCCAAGAAAGTACATTTCCATTTATACTATATGATATTAAATTTTGGATCAATTGGTGTTTCGGCACCTTATCAAATGCTTTTGAGAAGTCTAAATAAATTATGTCCATAGGAATGTTATTGTCACTCTCTAGCGTGATTTTTTCAAATAACTTCAAAAGATTTGTCACACACGATCTATGTTTCATAAAACCATGCTGAGATTTGTTTGATAGACTATTGTTTACTAAATGGTCAACAACTTGATCCTTGATGATAGATTCCTTAATCTTTCATGGTATTAAAGTAAGAGAGATAGGACAATAGTTTCCTGGATCTTTCTTACTTTCTTTTATAAAGGTCGCTGCAATATTTCCATCTCTCCAATCTTGTGGCACAATTCCTCTTGAAAGACTTAATAAATATCACAGTCAGTGGTTCAGAGAGTACATTGTTAAAGGTTTGGAGTATGTTGGAGGACAGGTTATCAGGTCTGGCAGAATTTGAGGAATTTAGATTATCAATCTTAGTTTAAACCTCCTCACTGGTAAACAAGATGTCCAAGATTATACCATTGGAAGGGAGTTTATCAAGGTTTGGTATGTTATCCAGATCTTCTCTTGTGAAAACAGAACAGAAATCGTTGTTTAACAATGTAGCCATATCTTTATTATCAGAGACAACTTTACCACAGTTCTTATTTTCAGGGGTCAAATTCCAGTTCTGGATTTAGTTTTATTTCGAACATAGGAGTCAAATGGTTTTCTGTTCCCATTTTTAGAAAGTTTTTTTTCTCAAAGGATCGTTTTGCACTGCGTACTGCTTTTTTGGCTTGTTTTCAGCTGCTTTAAACTTATCAAAGTAGATCTATGAATTTCAGACTACTTCTATTTTCTCACTTGGATACATATTTCTGAAAGGGGGTGGGGCTACTCAGATTAAGCAGTATATATTTATATGCTCAAGAAGAAAGACCACTATTAAATATCTAAAAACTTCAGATCACGCACGCAATGTTGAAGGGATTTTATATCCTTTTTCTCAGCGTTTCGGATCCGGATCCGGTCGGATCCGGATCCGTATCAGGAAACGTTGATATGGATCCGGGTAGCGCCAAAAATTAACCAAAACCATGGAATAAATAAATCAAAATGGTTCGTAAATGTATTATTTACATGACGAAAATTTTTCAAAATTATCTTTAATAATTTAATGTTTACATTTATATAATAGTAATGACGACATTTTTAACTTTAGGATTAACTTCAGGAAAATCCGATTCACAGAATCAAAAGTTACCTCGGATCTGGATCCGTTTCAGAGTCAGGTTCCGGATCCGCATCAAAATGATACGGATCCGAAACACTGCTTTTTCTATCACAACATATTTTGAAAACTCTTCAGAAAAGAATAAACGCGTCCGTTTTAGTGCTGTAAACTCCCTAAAAATCAATACAGTTGATAGTAGATCTTATTTTTGAAAAAAAGGGTAATTTTTGAAAAATTCTATATGAAAAAACAATAAAACCCAATAAATCCCACTTACAGGTGGGTTTTTTAAAGTTGGGTTTATTGGGTGTATTTGGGTTGGTTTTTGGGCTGGGTTTTTTCATTCCAACCCTGCTTTGTGGGACAACTATGTTGGCCTAGGGTGCACCGGTGCAATCATTCATTTATGTCCTTTCATAATTAAAATAATTATTTTAATGCATCTTTTTAGTCGATGACAATTTTGATAGCAAAGGACCTCAGTTGACCATTAACCAGCAGGAACAGCAGTTGTCAGATGGCCAGGAAAACAGCTTGCTCTCAAGCTTTGAGTGTGGGGTGGGAGAAAGTTTGGTTTTGGAAACAATGGTTTCAGTTCAAACATCCATGGGACAACAACAATACTTACAGCAACCACCTCATCCTGACCAAGAACAAGGATCTCATCAACCAGAGCATGTTCAAGCACAACAACTCCAACATCTGGACAAAAATCAAACAGATCTAAATCAGCTTAAAATGCAGCATGATCAACAACGTCAAGGAGAGCAACAAGTTTCATATTCATCTTATTCAAAATCTTCACCACTAGAAAAACTACATGAACAGTCTGAAAAGAAAACAGATGAAAAGTTAATGCTTCAGCATTCCGAACCAGGGCATCTTGTTAAACAACAGGTACAGGATCAACAACATCAAGAGCATCAAGACGCAGAACTACCTGTTCACAAGTTATGTCAAGGCGAAGGATTAAGAAGTTTAACTGTGAGTAGATCTATTCTCGGAGCTGCTCTTCTGAACAGCATTCAGCAGCAAGAAACTGCTTTGCAAGATCAAGGAGATCAAGAAAGCTTCAGATACCAACAGAACAGCAGCTCTTTAAATAACAGAAATAAAGAAATGGGACATAGAAGTGAGCCAACAAATTTACAAGATTCTTTGAAAGACGATCTTCAAGATCATGAACATTTCGTGTTGTCAGCTGAGTTAGTAAATGAGCCATCCAAGCAGCATGATGCTGATAATGCTGAAAAGATTGCTGATGAACAAGAACTGTCTTCTTATTTTCTTCCTGACCAGTTACACAGGGAGCCTACCCTTATTTCTAGACCCAAGGTTAGATACTTTAAGAAAGTTGGATAAGCTACAGGGTTAAGACTTATATATCTGAAAAGGCCTTGAAAAATGGATATAATAACATGTTAATATTTTCAATAGCAGAAATAATTATTTTGTAAATTTTTTCGGCATTATTTTTTTAACTTTTTAAAAATCCTCCCTTACCATTTAAAGTTAGAGGTTTCATTTTTTTTATGAGCAGGCCTTGAAAATTTGACAAGATTTGTAGAGAATAGGATAGATGACAAGATTTGTAGAGAATAGGAAAGATGACAAGATTTGTAGAGACAAGGATAGATGACAAGATTTGTAGAGAATAGGATAAATGACAAGATTTGTAGAGACAAGGATAGATGACAAGATTTGTAGAGAATAGGATAGATGACAAGATTTGTAGAGAATAGGAAAGATGACAAGATTTGTAGAGACAAGAATAGATGACAAGATTTTTAGAGAATAGGATAGATGACAAGATTTGTAGAGACAAGGATAGATGACAAGATTTGTAGAGAATAGGAAAGATGACAAGATTTGAAGAGACAAGGATAGATGACAAGATTTGTAGAAACAACGATAGTTGACAAGATTTATAGGAACAATGATAACAGACAAGATTTGTAGAGACAAGGAGAGATGACAAGATTTGAAGAGAGAAAGATAGATGACAAGATTTATAGAGAATAAAAAAATGACCAGATTTATAAAGAATAGGAAAGAGGACAAGATTTGAAGTGACAATGATAGATGACAAGATTTATAGAGATTAGGAAAGATGACACGATTTGAAGATACAAGGATAGATGCCAAGATTTAAAGAGAATAGGAAATATGCCGAGATTTTTAGAGAATGGGAAAGATGACAAGATTAGGAAAGATTAGGATAGATGACCAGATTTATACACACAAGGATAGATTGCAAGATTTGAAGTGACAACGATAGATGTCAAGATTTTTAGAGAATAGGAAAGATGACACGATTTAAAGAGACAAGGAGAGATGAAAAGACTTATAGAGAAAAGGAAAGATGTCAAGATTTATATATACAATGATAGTTGACAAGATTTATAGAGAGAAGGAAACTGGAAAGATGACAAGATTTATAAAGAATAAGAAAAATATCAAGAATTGTAAGACATTGTAAGATGACATGATTTGCAGAGAAATGGGAAGATGAATAATGAACATCCCGAAATTAAAAACAAATATAAGATTAGTTTTACTCGAACATTTTTATCATTATATTTAAACTTTTTTTTTGAATTCTAATCCTTGCAGAGTTGTGGATTAAATATGAAATTCCATCTTTATCTGAAGTATGCAGAAGTAAATGCCCTATTTTTAACTAGTATTTATGAACAGCCAAATATTTATAAAATTGATATATTCACACATTTTCATGAAAAAAAAATATTAAAATAAATTTTCATCAAAATTGAGATTATAGATATTTTATGTTTGTAATTGATAATATTATTTCTCCCGTATTAATTCCAGGCCCGTACCTGAAAGGTTTTGCAAGGGGGGCGGGGCACCACACACGGTAAACAGGGGAAGGGGGGGGGGGAGGTAGCCCTCTCACACAATCAAAAACCGTTTATTTTATCTTACATTTAATCTCACAAGGGGGGTGCACGCGCCTGTGTGCCCCCTTACCCCGTCACGGCTCTGATAAATACGTAAATCTGCACAATTTTGTATTTGTCAATAGATGAAAATATTTATTATTTAGGGGATTTCTTGGCTTTTTTGTTTTTTTCGGAGATTTTTGGTTTGGGAGAGTTGTTTCGAGGATTTCGGTTAGTGATTGTTATTTCAAGATGGTTGGGGTTTTCCCCCTTAAGTATTTAAATTATCGAATCTTTTAGGTAAATGCGCATTTTATTCTTCTTTAAATGTCGTCTTCCCATCAAATTATCAATATTTATTTGAAACCTAATATTTTTAACGTTGTTTCCAATGATAATACATTAAAAACTTCGGCAAGTGTTTTAACAATTCGTATAAGTGTTTTAAGTGGTGATATGATTAAAACTTTGGTGGTGGGACTATTGCAACAATTGGCACTGAGCTGGATTATGTTATGAACCCATAGTCCCAATCGTTTGATCTCGATATACACATTGTGCACTTGTTCATGGAGGGTTGATATTGTTTGAACTTAATTCTGAATAAGTTACAAATAAACTCCTTGTTTCAATTGTATAGTGAACAATTTACAATAATGGGTATAGTACAATAAATAAATACAGTACATTGTACATTGTACATTGTACATTGTACATTGTACATTGTACATTGTACATTGTACATTGTACATTGTACATTGTTCATTGTACAATGATAAATATTTTTTTTAACAATTCCCGACTATTTGATCACCGATAAACAGAGATAAACAGACAAAAGTCTTTTTACAATGAGAATGCTGTCAGCCATTTAATGACGAGGGGTAAATATATGGTATATTGGGTGGCAAAAACTGTTAAATAACTTGTCCGTTTTTCCATTTTTGCCCTAGAACAATATAAATAGTCACTGAAAACATTTTTCCCTTTGAAAAATTTCAAAAATTGACTGCGTTTGGTTAAAAAACTCCATAAAATGTACTTTTCTCTAAAACTAGCATTTTTAACGTGTTTTCTTGTCTAAATAAAAAATTTCAACGGATAAAATCTGTTTAGACAATTACGAAGAAGATGATATATGACATGATAGATTCAAGAAATTTACTTTGAGCTATGTAGACTTTTTTGCGATCTGCACTGGCCTTGCACGACCACTTCCCAATGTTTAAAAAAAAAAAATTTCTTGTGATAACTGACATCATAGAGAACAATATTAGCCTGAGAGTTATTTGTGGAAAGTAGGACTGAACAAAGGGGAACGCTAATATGTAGACTACATATTGTTAAGCTTTTAATCACCCTTAGACCAATTATCAGTAATTAGAACAGATTTCCTGCTTATTTCTAATTCTATATACACAGGGTGGCCAAAATGTACGGATTGTACGTATTGTTTTTTTTTAACCCTAAAATTGTACGGATTGTACGGATTTGTTTTCAAATTGTACGGATTGTACGGATTTTTATCCTGGAAAATACACCGTTTTTTTAAATTTTCACTCATTTCAGCAAATTTTTCATGAAAATTAAAAAAAAAATTTCGTCAAAATGAAGTTAGTTTAACTTATTTTCTGCATTCTAAATAATATTAGATTGATTAATGTTTCAATTGACAATCAAAATTCATTCATAATTTTCGAGATATGTCCAAGAAGTGTTTATTTGAGAATATGTTCCATAAGTACTTATTTGATTGCTTATTCAAGAAGATGTTCCAGTATCCTGTACCCAGTATCCT